ATTGATTTATATATATGTATATATATATAACTATGGCATTGCATTACTTTAAAAGAGAATGTGTAACATTTTGACAAATGACATGCATATACATTCACTATATGACTTTGTTAAGTTTCATACGTTGTGTTCAATTATCTCTACTAAGCTTTAACTTACCCTTTGTGAAGAACAACTTTTAGGTGCTGATAATATCCCTTCATCAAGGACATAACTTAGGACGACCTTAGAGCCGATGGCTTCTTTTTGCTTCTTTTATGTAAATATTTGTTGTACAAGCCTTGGACTTTATATGTATGGAGTTCAACTCACTTTGTTGTTTCAAAGTATTGACTTGGAAAGATGTAGTCATTAAGGCATTAACTTAATTGTACTTCTTTTGTTCCAATTCACTCACACATGTAATATATAATAGATTTAGGATTTAGGATTTATGAATGTATACATGCATATATCGTTATTTAAACGATAAAAGGATATCAATGGAATGTTAACATTACGCAAGTTTCTATTTTTCTTTGAATATCGTGAGGTGGGTTGTTGTTATTATTTCGGGCTGTTACATTTTCATTGCAGAAATTCAATGCATTCACTTGGCAAAAGTATACATAATTATGTGTGTGTGTATTGTATATAATTAATATGGCTTTGTTTGGGAATTCAGTATGAGCTTGTTTGGGAAAAACATTCAGGCTAAAATAGTCATATAAAACAAAATAGACTATTTTAGCTAAATAAGACAAAATGTCACATCTAAATCATAATCATTTCATTTTTTTTCTCATAAAAGTCATAAAAGCCAAAAAATCTATCCCAAACGAGGGTTTTTAGCCTTAGGCTAAAATAATTAAAAAGTCAAAAAGTCAAAACACATATCCCAAACGAGCTTTATATTAGTTAAAATGTCAAAAAAATCATTATAAATTAATATTAGTTAAAATGTTAAAAAATCATTATAAATTGTCACATCACTTTTAATACTTTTCTGTATATTTTTTCAAAAAAAATAAAAAGTTACTAAAATAGAAAAACGAGGGCATGTGCATAATAAAAGTAAGAGAAAAAACAAAAACAAAAGCAAAAAACACAAAAATGAGAACAAAAAATTAAAGGCAGACAAAGGTATTAAGATCAAGACACATGTGATTTGTGTGGGTTTCATATTTATGTGAGAGGTTTGATAAAAAATTTGATAATTCATTTGAGGTTTACAGAATTTTTCTAAGGTCATTGCATCTATTCCATTAATAGAGTTAAAATTGTACTTTAATCTGAGGTTGTGTTTGGCATATTTTTTTTAAGATAAAATAAATCAAAAAGTTAATAAGATAAAATATCATATTTAAATTATAATTATTTTATTTTTCCTTACACAAAAGTTAAAAAGGACAAAAAATTTCATCATAAATGAAATTTTTTAATCTTAAACTAAAATAATTTTTTAAAAAATTAAAAAACTAATCCACCTCCAAGCGAAAACTAAAATTATATGAGGATTGTTTACTATTGTTGAACCACAAGTGGTAAAGTAGTCCAGCCAAAAGCACAAGGATAAAGGGAATTTTATCCAAAATATTATTTTGATATTTATTTTTATTTTTTCAAAAACTTTTCTGAATATATTTTCTGGAGAGCAAACCATCCATTTTTGATTGTTTAGCGCTTCGAATGGACGGTAACAGCAGAATGCCCTGTGTCATGACATGACGACTGGCTGATGAAGTTAAGCACTTTGAATGGACGGTGGTGTACATCATCACGTCCAAACAGCGGACACCGAGGGTCTTATAGAGCGTTTTTTTCTTAAATTTTTCTAAAGTGGTGTATTGTGTGGTTGAGATTTAATATTAAAAAATTGATGTAACTTGTCATTAAATTTCAACCATACAATGCACCACTCTAAGAAATTTTTAAAAAAAAAAACTCTAGAGGATCCTTACTCAACAGCGGAACACATTGCCCTACCCCCTTCCTCTCTCATCACGTGTGGATAACAAAAGCAGAATCAGTGAGGGAGAGGCAGAAGAGGAGGTGGATACCTTCAAAACCACCCCCCCTAACTCCCTTCCAAGAAAGTCTACATTGATGATGTAGACCGCCACCCCCACCACTAACGCTATGTTTGAATTAACACTGTATTTGAGAACTTAGGAGAAAAAAGAAAAGAAATGATTACTTAAGTAATAAGAGAATAGAAAAGAAAAGAAAAAAAATAATTGTGATTTCTCTCATTTTTGTTTGTATAAGGAAGAAATAAAAGAAAAGAAATGATTATGATTTCTCTCATTCTTGTTTGGTTAGATTTCATTAAGAGAAAAGAAAAGAAATTATTTTATGTTATATTACCAAAATAACTTTTTTATATTTTTAATCATTTTATTTCTTTTATTTTTATAGGAACAAAATTAGTATTATGAAAATAATGGTTTCTTTTCTCTTCCAATCTCTCCACTTTTGGGAAGATTGAAAATGAGGCTTATAAGAGAAATGAGTTTCTCTCAATTTCTTTTCATCTCTCCCCACTTAAGTTATCCAAACATGTAAGAGAAATGCATATCTCTCAATTTCTTTTCTTTTCTCTCCAAATCACTCAATTCAAACATAGCGTAAGTGATTTGAAGAGAAAAGAAAAGAAATAGAGTGGTATGTATTTTACTTATTTGTTTGAATAATCTAAGTAGAAAGAAATGAAAAGAAATGGAGAGAAACTCATTTCTCTTATAAGCCTCATTTTCAATCTTTCTAAAAGTAGAGAGACTGAAAGAGAAAAGAAATCACTATTTTCATAATATCAATTTTGTCCCTATAAAAATAAAAGAAATAAAATAATTAAAAGGGGAAATTATCAAAAAGTCCTATTTACCAATTTATTACTCCATCTGGTCCCATGTTCATTCTCTTAGATTGACAAGTCCTGTTTGATATGTTTTGTGAACAATCAAGTCCCGTTTTAAATTTATGTGATGTGTATGTGGACGGATTTAACCCTATTTTGTTTTTTCTCTACAGGTGTATATATGGGATGTGTGTGTGGACGGATTTTGTGGGATACGTTTCCTCATCCACGTTTGGCAATTCGGATCTGTCATTCAAAATCCCCATTACCATCATCGCTGTCTTCACTCTCAGATTATCATCACACTCCACAAGCTCCTCCATGGCCGATCTCAACCTCCTGATCACTAATTCCACGTGATTCGCATCTCCGCCTTTAGGGCATGTTTGATTGGGTGGATTAAAACATGGGATTGGAATTATTAATTCATGGGCTCAATTATCCTATGTTTGTTTTAACATTTTGGTTTAGGATAATTAATCCAATGGATAATTAATTCAACAAATTTGTAGGATTATTAGTAATGGGGTAGGGGTGGGATTATTAATCCAATGGATATTAATCCAATTGGATAGTGAATACCACACTAATTTAATAGGATTATTAATATTTCACTATTAATTTTGTGAATCAAACATGACCTTAGAGTATTTTTTTCTTAAAATTTTCTAAAGTAGTGTATTGTGTGATTGAGATTTAATGTTAAAAAATTAATGTGACTTGTCATTAAATTTCAATCATACAATACACCACTCTAGAAAATTTAATAAAAAAAAAAAACTCTAGAGGATCCTTACCCAACAGCAGAACACATTGCCCTACCCCCTTCCTCTCTCATCACGTGTGGATAACAAAAGTAGAATCAGTGACGGAGAAGGAGGAGGTGGATACCTTCAAAACCACCCCCCCTAACTCCCTTCCAGGAAAGTCTACATTGATGATGCAGACCCCCACCCCCACCACTAACGCTATGTTTGCATTAACACTGTATTTGAGAATTTAGGAGAAAAAAGAAAAGAAATGATTACTTAAGTAATAAGAGAATAGAAAAGAAAAGAAAAAAAATAATTGTGATTTCTCTCATTTTTGTTTGTATAAAGAAGAAATAAAAGAAAAGAAATAATTATGATTTCTCTCATTCTTGTTTGGTTAGATTTCATTAAGAGAGAGTGAGAGCGTCCATGATAAGAGAGAGCGAGAGAGATTGTGTTGTGTGTCTAGTGTGAGACGAAGGATGTGAGTAAATGGAACTTTGATTTTGGTTCATGTCGAAACATCAATGGTAAGGTTCACGTCCGACCCCCCAACTTTGATTTTGGTTTTTCCAGTTTGTGTTTTCTTCAGATGGACACTTCCGGCGGATTGTGTTTCGATGTGAACCTTAATCCAGTTTGTGTTTCAATGTGAACCTCACCGAGCGAACCCCACAGTGCACAACCGGAACTGTGGAACCAGGACTGAGATTGATGTTGAGAACTAGAACTGTGAATCGCTGAGATTGAGAACCAGAATAGGTGAGCTTGAGAACGAGAATCGGTGGAATCGGTGAGGTTCACGTCAAAACGTCACAAATGGCAATTGGAAAACAAAGGCTCAAACTGATGTAAAGCTGAAACGTGACACAATCCACGTCATGGAAAAAATAAAATAAAAAAAGTGTCAAATTCACGTCACAACCCACGTCAAAGAAAAAGAGTACTATTACCTTTTTTTTGGAACGTGAATCTCACACCCCTTCCCATAAATACATGCGGGTCTACAAACTCAAATTAACACTTTAATGGTAAAATAGTAAACAAACAACCCAAAGGACTAAACGGTTTAAAAGAAAACAATTAGGACCACATGATCTACAAGATGATAAAATAGGATTTACTGATCAATTTCCCTAATTAAAAATATAAAAAGATTATTTTGATAATATAATATAAAATAATTTTTTTTCTCTTAATAAAATCTAACCAAATAAAAATAAAAAAAATTATAACCATTTCTTTTCTTTTAATTCTTTCTTATCCAAACAAAAAACCGAAATATCAACACCATCTTTCTTTATCAATCCTTTCTTTTCTTCTCTTTTCTTTTCTTTTCTCTCGTAGGTTCAAACATAGTGTAAGAGATGAGAGACCTTGTGGCCTCGGACGCTCGACCGGTCCTCTTCTATCATCATCATCATCCTTCACTCAACTTGTCAAATTTCCACTCATTACCACACCATTCAACAGTCTTTATGAATCCCTCTTTCTGGTATCCTCCAAATATGCTCCATTTTATCATTAGTTTCAGAGATACAGAGAGAAAATGGGGCATGGAAGCTCGAAACCAAGCGTTACAGACTCCTCTGATGACTCCACTACTGAGGGTTCGAATCGAAACCAAGCGTTACAGACTCCTCTGATGACTCCACTACTGAGGGTTCGAATCGTTCCTCCTCGCTCTTCTCCCGACTCCACATTCATCGTCACCACCGCCGCCTCCGTCTCCACCGCGGCGGCTCCGGCAGTCACAGTGGCTCGCATTCGAAATTGCACGCCGCCGAGGATTTCGCTGGCATCGCTCTCGTCAAACTCATCGGTGTATGATTTTAAAATCACATTTACATACATATATATATATATATATACACATGATATAATGTGATTATGTACTTCTTGTTGTTGTTGAAGGCTGAGATGAAGTTCAAGGACAAGTGGCTTGCTTGTATTTCTTTCGGAGAACAGACTTTCCGTACTGCCATATCTGATCAGTTAAGCATCTCCTACTTCTTCTATTGTCAAATTCTTGGACATTTAGTTCCATGTTGTTTGTGTGTCTATATAATATGTTACATGAATTAGAACGTCCCAATACATGCTCAACATTCTGTAATCGGAATCAATCTGATCATCAAATGATTTTTTTATTTTTATTTGTTTTTTGGGGTTGGAACCTGTTTCACTTTATTTGATTTTGATCAGTAGTGGTGTTTAAAATCATTTACAACGGTGAAAAGAGCAAGATTGCCTATTCATTTTGTAGGATCAAAAACACCCTGCATCTTAAAGGAGCTTTTGCAAGCAAGAAGTAAAAGAGGAATACATTTTATTTGTTTATTTATTTATTTAATAAAAAGGGTGAGGAATTTGTGAAGAAAAAGGGACAAAAGGAGAGTTCTGAGTGATGAGGCAAATTATGTTCTTTGTGCTTTCCTACTTTTCTTTCGGGATTCTTTCTCGGGGTTGGGGTGGCTGGGGCTTAGCTTAGGTCTATAGATCGTTCAATTTACAATAGCTTCTACTTGTTTGATGTGTCTAAGTGCAACAACACCCTTCCTTTGCTTTCTAATCATTTAAAATAACTGTGAATGTAACCTTGATCACAAAGAAAATTTAAAACCTTTCATTATAAAAGGAGGTGTCTAGATAGAAGTTAGATAAATAAGCTTTGTCGTCTGGCTGGAATAGAGGGCAGAATATGTTGCTTATCTGGGGCATGTAGGGGAAGATAAGTAAGTGTTCATTCAAACGAGTTGAGGATCAAATTCATAGATTGAAAAGCATTTTTCCGGTGTTCCTATACTTTCCATGGGGCCTTTTTGGGCTGGCGTGTGTGTCCTCCTTTTGGGATTATGTGTTAAGCTTCGTTGTATATCTTTCTTTTTTGGTTATAGAATGCTTACATACCTTAAAAGAGAAAAAAATATCATCATTTCATGGAGCTTTCTGTATAAAAATTGTTGCAGAACAACTCCAAATTAAGGGGACTGCTCTGGTTGATGTAATAGATGTTAGAATATTTGAAAAACAAAAATGAGAACAAACAAGTATCAAAAAGTAAAACTCAAAGGGCTGTTCTTTTGGTTTAAAAGGTGAGGAAAAGAGAAAGAGCCTTTTCTTTGCCTAATTTTCCAAAATCTGGAAAAATTGATTACAGCACTTTCAAAACCATTTTTTTAAATATTTTTTTGTTTGTGGAAACTTCAAAGACTTTAAATCCTTGCCGTTAAAGTACTCTAATTGAGCCGTACATTAACAACTTAAATAAAGGACATAAAAAAAAAAAAAAAAGCTCTTGATGGTAGTTGTTAAAGTATAGCATCAACAGTGCTACTCTAAGAAAGACAGGCACGACATGTGGGATACGCACACATTTTTTAGCCTATTGGATGGAAAGTTTTCATGAATTATTATATGTATGACCTATTTCCACATAGATATTGTAGTTTGTAGTACATTGAATAAGTTCTACTGTATCTGAATTTTGGCGTGTAATAAGCTCAACATATTAATTTCTGTATGGTAATAATGGAATTTTGAAGTTTAGAATAGTTTTCAATTTGTTTTTAACATTTTATAATGGTTGATTGTCTTGTTGGTGGTGCAGCACGGACAAGCCAATTTGGAACTCTGTAAGTATCACCGAATATTATGTTTACTTGGCACTTGCTTGAAACATCTTTTTTGTGACCTTCAATGATTATAGCAATTGGTGTGTTGTTTGTGAAATAAAAAATTCCATATAATAAATGGTTAGTAACATATCACGCTTTACACTTGGGAGGCATTATCCTGAACGTATATTACTCTGTGTATCGAATATGAAAATCATTTTCACCACCTAAGATATCCAGCAGGGAATTTGCTACATATGCAATAGTATTAAACTGTTAAAATCCACCTACTCTCCACCTACTTCACCCACTTAAACCTACTCCACTAAACCTAACCCACTACACCACTACCACCTCACCTACTCCACTAAACCTAACCCACTACACCACTACCACCTCCACTTCACCTACTCCTTACCTACTACACACTCACCCTCTTCTATATATAGGAATCATGAATCATTGTAATAGATATCAACATTATATCAATCTTGTAATACATCAAGATATCCATCAATAATACAATTTATTCTCTTTCTCTCTCTATCAATATTTTTAACATAAACAAATAAAACAAATTAAAAAAAAAAAAAAAAAAAAAAGGGAAAATGCAAACATGTGAAGCAACCTTGGTGTGAGGAGGCTGAACATCTGTTGGTATATGTAGTGAAGTTGATGGAGGTGTAGGGGTAAAATAATGGATGGGCCTTGTATGCTCTAGGCAAAAAGGTGATGGACTGTTGGGACGAACAGATGTGCTAGGCTCTGGCATCAATGGAGTGTGAGTGGGTAGAGGGACACCACTGGACAATGGTGATGGACTATTGGGACAAATATATGTGCTAGGCTCTGGCATCGGTGGCGTGTGAGCATGTGGAGGGACACCATGGGATGATGGGTGGCACTCAACCATGAGAATGGTATCAATGCCACGGAGATGCTCCATCTGCTCCCCGACAAAGGCATGGAATGTCTTCGTCTACAAAAGCTTTATACATTTTTTGAGTTGCCTATAATTAAATGAGAGTTAGAAACAATTTCAATAGAATTTTTAAGTAGTTAGAAATTTTTAGAAACAATTTTAATAGAATTTTTAAAGAGTTAGAAATTTGGCTTGTTCAAAAATAGGGGATTCAACACAAACCAGATGTTGCAACTGTAATTGTGACAGAATATGGGAAGCTGCATTACTCTCCAACCTTAATCATAGCTTAACACGTTTTGTAGTCCAAAAGGCCAGTCTAGTCAGCCCAACAACATCAACATCCAATTTCTTTTCTTTTCTTTTTTTCTCTTTTAATTGGATGTCGATGTTGTTGGGCTGACTAGACTGGCCTTTTTGACTACGGAACGTGTTAAGCTGCGATTGGGGTTGGAGAGTAGTGCAACTTCCCATATTCCGTCACACTTATAGTTTCAACATCCAGTTCATGTTGAATCCCCTATTTTCAAACAAGCCAAATTTCTAACTCCTTAAAAATTCTATTGAAATTGTTTGTAAAAATTTCTGACTCCTTAAAAATTCCATTGAAATTGTTTCTAACTCTCATTTAATTATAGGCAACTTAAAAAATGTATAAAAATTTTGTAGATGAAGACATTCCATGTCTGTCAGGAGCAGATGGAGCATCTCCATGGCATTGATATCATTCTCATGGCTGAATGCCACCCATCGTCTAATCGTGTCCCTCCACCTGCTGACACACCACTGATGCCTAGCACATCTGTTTGTCCCAACAGTCTACCATCGTCCAGTGGTGTCCCTCCACCTGCTCACACTCAATTGATGCTAGAGCCTAGCACATCTGTTTGTCCCAACAGTCCATCATGTTTTTGCCCAGAGCATAAAAGCCCCATCCATTATTATGGCCCTACACCTCCATCTACTTCACTACATATACCAACAGATGTTTAGCCTCCATACACCAAAGTTGCTTCACATATACTGACTGTTTTGCAGATTTAGTTTAAAGACTAAAATATAATTTTTCCGTCAATTCTACTTAACAAAAATATGCAAATGGTTAGATTGAAAATAAATCAAAAGATTAAGGTTTACAATGACCAAATTAAAAACTCATGATTTATTTTGTTAAAAGGCTCAAAACTTAGGGTTTTTGTTGTTGTTGTTGTTGTTGTAATTTCCCTGATTTTTTTTATTTAGATAGAAAGTTGTCATCTTCCAAATGAGAGGAAAAGCATAGACTTAATTTAAGTGTACATGTTTAATAGAAATCATTTAGTCTCTCTTTCTCCCTGTGTCTCTCTCCATCCATCCATCCATCCATCCATCCATGTCAATGTGATAGGAAAATTAATATTATGGGTTGTGTTTTGATTCTCTCCACTTATTACTATTTAGGATAAATTATACTGGTAGTCCCTACATTTTACACCTTGTGTCATTTTGGTCTCTACACTTTCAATTGGCTCAATTTTGGCTCTTAATTTTAGATTTTGTGTCAATTTAGTCCAATTAATAATATCTTTAGTATTTTTTTAAAAAAATTATCACTAAGTTGGTTGAGATTAACTCACTGAGTTGAGTAAGTTCATAATTTTTCCCTTAAAAGTATGACACATGACACTTATGTGGGTATTTTCTATAAAAAAAAAAAAGAAGCTAAGAGTTGTAATCAATTGGACTAAATTGATACAAAATCTAAAATTAAGAGTCAAAATTGAGTCAATTGAAAGTGTAGGGATCAAAATGACACAAGGGGTAAAATGTAGGGACCACCGGCGTAATTTGCCCTACTATTTACAATAATGGAGAAGTTTAGGCTGTGTTTGGTTATGTTTGCCAAACACATTTTCACCCTCTTTCAGGAGTGGTGTTTGTTTTCAGTTTTCAAATTATAATTTCAAATTCACTTTTGAAAACTCTTTTTCGGCGGAAAAATTTGGCTAACCCGGACGTCCAGCCAGTTGACCGGTACAGTGTTTGTTTGTTTGTTTTTTTTTGTTCGTTTTTTTTTTTTTTTTTTTTTGGCACCTGTTATTTTTATATTGTAAATAAAAAATATTTTTGGAATTTTTTTTTAATTTTTTATATGAGTTTTGAATAGAACTTTAGGTTATGTGTTTGGTTATGAGTTGTAAGTTTTTGAATCAAATAACTTTTCTAATTTCAAAAACTCAAAACTCCCTCCAAAACTCTTTTTCAAAACTCAAAACCAAACAAATTTTCCACACTCAAATCATAATTTCAAAACTCACGAACTCAACATACAACTCTATTCTCAAATCATATTTAGAAAACTCTACCAAACGCTACCTTATACTTTCTGTTGTCATTTTCTCTCCTTCTACACTCTTTGTTTAATCAGCATCATCTTCTACAAGGTTGTAATTTACTTTTGGAAAATTTGGCAGTTTATTATCCTACCTACATTGAGTTCATAGTTCTTCTACAGGAGAAGAAACTTCTTTTGGAAAGAAATGGGCCTCGTGTTGCAAGGATATCTGTATTTGAGGTATGGCGCTAAATTTGATTGTACCAACTACCCGTATATTTCTGTGCTATTCATTGCCTTTCTGATGAAGGATTTGATATTTAATTTCATATAATTAATCAAATGATGTATGAAAACACACAACTTTGATGTCATACAGAACAAGAAACACAAGCACAGTGGCAAAGTTCAAGAATAATTGACAGTCTTTCTGCCATTGGGATCTCCAATTATTGAAACCAAAGCAAACCAAACCAAACTAAGCCTCGTGTTCCACTTGTGGGATTGACTACATGAATAATTTTCATTAGTCTGCTCTGTCAAGGGCTAAATACCTGGTTAAATTAAATAAATCTTTCTTTTTTAACTGCCTCAATCCATATCAGTTTAGGTCTTCCTCTGCCCTTTCATTTATGGTGATCATATCACTCTTTCTTACCGTTGTATTTGTCGGTCTTTGTTGTGCATGACTGAATCATCTTAGCTTGTTCTCACTCAACTTATTTTCAGTTGGTGCTACATTTCCCATTTCATGGGTATGTTTATTTCTAATTCTATCTTTCTTAGTTTTACCAAATACGATGTAAATACATATATGAGAGGACTGCAATTGTTAGATAGATAGATAGATGCAGTCAATCATTCCATTAAGAGTTTTGTTTTCCCCTGCAAGTTGTTTATACTTTGCAGTGGCTTCATTTGATGCTTATCATATTTACGGTTGCAAATATAACTTTACTTGGCTTTGAGTGAAAGTTGCAAAGCACAAGTCTTGAAATCCGTTTGCAATAGAATTATTATTGGCAGAATTTTCTATATTTCTTAAATTTGCTTTCTCTTACTATTGGAGTACAAAAGTGTTGTCATCATTTTAATTATCTTAATTTTGTTGTATGTTAAGAAAATTAAAAAAAGATCATAGTGTTATTTAATAAAAAAAAATCCATTTTTTGTTGCATATGCATTGACTTTCCATGTGATGCAGACCAATATATTGTCCAAGAACAACCTCGTTGGATATTGTGAAATTGATCTATATGAATTTCTCACTCGGGTAAGTTATATTTTTCATTGAATAAGTTTTTATGCCTGTCAACATGCTTCTTTTCATGATAATACTGCATATTTATGTCTTGAAGTAAGTTTACCATGCATCACGATTCACAAATGGAGAACCAATCTGAACCCATTGGTGCCTTCCACTCATCAGTTGGTCTTGGGTTAGCTTATGACAGCTGATGTAGCTTTGTTTAAGTTTGGGTATGGCATTATGCAACCCAATTCAACCTGACCTATCCAAAGATAGTCCCACCCTTTGTTACATCATTACATGTACCTAGTACAATAGTCTGGAAAGCTATGAAGCACCGATGCTTCAAAACAAATGCAGTATCCATGTCAAACACACAAACACTTCGGGGACACGCAGACATTTCGGGGACAAGTATGGGACACACCACATGGCATGTCTCCTTATTTAATTAATTTATTTTTAGGGGACACTTCGGGGACACACTAGGGACATGCTAAATTGTCTTTTTTTCAATTTTATTTAGTATTTTTGATGAATGCTGAATGTTTATTATTTTTTTCTTATATTTAAATATTTAATAGATCATCCAAAAAAAAAAAAAAAAGATATAAACTGTGTTAATTTAAAAGTGCTTAAAAAAAAAAACAAATAGAATTAGAGTTAGTTTTGTTAATATTGATTGTTTGTGGATGTAATATTAATATAGATAGTAAATAAAAATATATGAAAACATATTTTATTGCTGTGTCTCCGCTGTGTCCATATCCCCATTTTTTTGAAATCGCCATGCACCATGTTCGCATCTGTATCCATATCCGTGTCCATGTTTCTTAGGTGGAAAGTTTAGAAGTCTAATTGTGAGAAATATATTGTGTATAGAATTAGGGAAGATTGTATTGTGTATAGACTTAGGAAAGATTGTGGTGTAACTATTTAGCTGTATTTACTTTTTCGTATTTTCCTTTTTCACTCATAGGTTTAGGGTTATATAAACAGGTGCCCTCCTTGTAAAGATATACAAGTTGAATATACAAATTATTCAGAAATACTTATATGGTATGAGAGCTTGGTTTGAAACCCTAGCTTTCTAATTTAAAACCCTAGCCGTAGTGGGTTTGCTTCTTCTGGTTCATCTTTGTATTCAAAACCCTCTGTCTCTTGGTCTCTGTTCAATTGCAACCCCATCTGCTGCGTCTCTCTCTCGGTTCTTGTCGGCTTCATCGCGACTCGTCGACTACCTCTAGTCATCGTGACTCTCTTCGTTCATCTCTGTTCATCGCGACTCTCGTTGGCTTTGTCTGGTTCATCTATGCCCTGGTTCTTTCTCCTTCTCTTTCTCTCGTCAGCTTTGAAACTTTACCCACTTGTTATCAGTACCCTTATTTGGTTAATATTTAAAAAAAAAAAAAAAAAAATCTGATTTTCCTATTTGGCCCACTTGTTAGTTATTATTATACTTCGACCTAGTTTATCTTTGGTTTATTACAATGATGGATATCAAAATCCAAACCATCAGATATAAACTCACTGGTGCCAATTATGCTTATTGGGCTAATGTTATGAAATTTTTTTTTCTTGGGCAAAAAAAAATGGGACTATGTTTCTGGTTTTGTTCTTTGTCCATTGGACCCGAAACAATAAGGATATCTAACTTTCTGTGACACCTGGGATTGTGATAATGCTCAAGTTCTGACCTGGTTTCATAATTCTGTGGATGATCGTATTGGAATGATGTTTTCCAAATACAGTACTGCCAAGGAGGTGTGGGACTATTTATTGGGTGTGTATCAACAGTCCAACTTTGCCAAGCGGTATGAGTTGGAAACAACTATTTAGAGTGTCGTCAATGGGACCAATCTATTTAGGACTTCTACATAAAGATGATAGGCCTCTGGGATCAGTTGGCTCTCATGGAACCATCTAGCCTCAAGGCACTAGACCCTTATGTTGAGTTTCGGGAGTGAGGTCGTTTCGTGTAGTTCTTAATGGCTCTCTTCCCTCAGTATGAGGCTATTAGTGGTGGCATCCTTCATCGATCTCCTCTCCCTTTTTGTGGATGCTATTGTTCGTGAGCTTCTCTCCGAAGAAACTCATCTTAAGATGGCCAGTCAGCCTCTATCTCCATCTATCTTCTTGGCTCCTACTCAGCCTCCTCTACTATTGAACCCCCCACCTCATCAGCTTCAGGCCACGGCAAAGACCAAGAAGGGCCCCCTACCATCAGATGAGTGTGCTTTCTGTCATTAGAAGGGTCATTGGAAGTACAATTGTCCCAAGAAGGGAAGTCCGTCTTCTCAGCAGTCTCAGTCCTGAGCACCAACTCAAAGTACTTTTCGGCCTCCCGCTGCTTATACTGCATCCACTCCGGCTCCAGGTCCTGATTTGGCTTCCTTGAGTTCTCAGCTCGCTCAGCTTCAGCAGATCTTGTCTACCTCTCAGTCATCTTCATCTGCCTCCGCTCTTACCTCTCTTCATTCAGGTTTGCTTGGGTCGTCTTCAGGTATCCCTTCCTCTGTCTAGCTTTTTGATTCCGGTGCCTCTCATCATATGACTCCTCACCTTTCCTTACTCCAAAACTGTATCCCCCTTCCCTTTCCTATTACTATTAATACTGTTAATGGGTTTAGTATGTCTGTCCTATCTGTTGGGTTTGTTTTACCCTCTGCCATGTCCGTTGTTACTATTCCCTCTGTTCTTTATGTTCCTCGACTCTCTGTTAGCTTACTTTCTATCAGTCAGCTTCATGCTTCTGGTTTTGATGTTATTTTTGCTTCTTCTGTCTGTTGTGTGCAGGATCGGGTGTCCAAGAAGCAGATTGGGACCGGCCGTAGAGTTGGAGATCTCCATGTGGTGGAAAGTCTGCATCTTCCTCTGTCCACCTCCCACGTTGCACTTTCATCTTTTCAGTTAGATTCTCAGTCGAGTCAGTTTTATTTATGGCATTCTTGCTTAGGTCATTTGTCTGTTGACTGCTTACGGTCTTTAGCTCAGTCAGGATTGTTAGGTAAAGTTTCTCCTAGTCAAATTAATGATTGTTGAGGATGTAAACTTGCTAAAACAACAGCTTTACCTTTTAATAATAGTACTTCTATTTCTGCTTCCCCTTTTTCTCTTGTCCATACTGATGTCTGGGGACCTTCTCCTCTTCTCAGTAAAGGGGGTTCTGCGTACTATGTGTCATTTGTTGATGATTGTACCCACTATACCTGGGTTTATCTTATGGCTCATAAATCTGACTTCTACCAGATATATCGTACTTTTCAGTCTATGATCACTACGTAGTTTAGGGCCACAATTAAAATACTTTGGTCTGACTTGGGTGGGGAATACTTTAAAACTGAATTCTGTGAGTCTTTGGCCAAATTGGGCACCATTCACCAAATCTCTTGTATTGATACCCCTGCCCAAAATGGTCGTGCTAAGCGTAAACACCATCATCTCCTTGAGACAGCTTGATCTCTCCTTCTCTCTGCCTCTGTTTCGACACCATTCTGGGGCGAGGCAGTTCTTACTGTTACTTTCCTCCTTAATCGCATGCCAACTCCTCTATCCTTCGGTCAATCCCCTTATCAGGCTTTGTATTCCCAACCTCCCAATTATTCCCTCCTGCGTGTCTTTGGATCTGCTTGTTTTGTCCTCATTTCCTGTAAAGATCGGACCAAACTCAGTGCCCGGTCTGTCTTGTGTGTCTTTTTGGGCTACAGTTTTACTCAGAAAGGCTACCGTTGTTACGACCTTGTCTTTTGTCGCCTCTATGTCTCCCGTCATGTTACCTTTCTCGAACGTCTGTCTTATTTTCAGCTTCCCCCTGTTTTACATTGACCCATTTCCTTCCGAGGTCCCATAAGATGAGTATATCGCCATTGTTCCTCCTGAGGCCATTCCTATTTCTCCGTTTGCGTCACCTATGGCTCCTTCTTCGCCTTCGGCTGCTTCTTCCCCTCCGTTGTTGGTCTATTCTGGTCGTAAGGCTCTCCCACCACCAGTTGTCTCTCCTTCTATTGCTGCTCCTTTTGCTTCTGACGACTTTGATCCTGCTGCACACTGCTATCCTCCTCGTGAGCGTCGTTCTCCAAACAGGTTGGGTTGGTCTAATACATGTTTTTCTGCTTCCTATCATACTTTTTTGTCTGGTATTCACTCTTTTTCGAAACTTCGGTCTTACAAAGAGGCCTATCAGGATCCTCATTAGGTTCAAGTTATGGAGGATGAGTTGTCTGCTTTACAGAAAACTAGTACTTGGGAGTTAGTTCCTTTGCTTGCTGGTAAGAATTTGGTTGGTTGCAAATGGGTTTACAAAGTAAAGACTCATTCTGATGGTTTCTTGAGCGCTATAAAGCTCGTCTGGTTGCCAAAGGTTTTTCACAGGAGTATGGTATTGATTATGATGAGACCTGCGCTCCTATTGTCAAGATGACTACTGTACGTACTTTGATCTTTGTCGCTGCTGTTCGTTTTTGGCCTCTTTATCAGATGGATGTTAAGAATGCTTTTCTTAATGGCCATCTCACTGATGAGGTTTACATGCGTCCTCTCCTTGGCCTTCACCATTCCTCTAGACAGGTTTGTCGCCTTCGGCGTGCTCTGTATGGTCCGAAGCAGTCTTCTCGTGCTTGGTATAATCACTTTCAGATTGCTGTTACTAAGATTAGGTTTCATCCTTGTGCCCAGGACTTTGCTTTATTTCTTCTCCACACCTCAACCGGATTTGTTGCCTTATTACTGTATGTGGATAATATGATCATCACTGGCTCTGACTTTTCTGCTATCTCTGAGGTCAAGCAGTATCTCTTCCGCACCTTTGAGATAAAGGATCTTGGTCCTTTGCGGTATTTTCTTGGTATTGAAGTTGTTTTTTTTCCAAAAGGCTATTTTCTGTCTCAGGCTAAGTATTCTAATGAGGTCATTCACCGTGCTGGTCTTACTGATACTAAGGTTTCTGATACACCTACTGAGCTTAATGTGAAGCTCAACTTTACTGATGATGTCCCACTGGAAGATCTCACTTTATATCGCGAGCTTGTGGGTTGCTTAGTTTATCTGACGGTTACTCGTCTTGATCTTGCCTATGTTATGCATGTGATTAGTCAGTTTGTTTATGCTCCTCGCTCTCCACATTGGGCTGCATTGGTTCGGATTCTTCGAGGTACTCTCTTTCAGGATTTACTATTGTCCTCTACTTCTTCTCTGGATATGGTGGCCTATGCTGATTCTGATTGGGCTGGTGATGTTACTGACGCAAGTCCACGTCTAGTTTCTGTATGTTTCTTAGTGATTCCTTGATCTCTTGGAAAAGCAAGAAACAAACTGTTATTGCTCGCTCTACTGCCGAAGCTGAGTACCGTGCTATGGCCCATGCTACTAATTTGGGTGTCCCTCAGTCTTCTCCGACCTCCCTCTATTGTGACAACCGTAGTGCTATTCAGATTGCCCACAATATTGCCTTCCATGAACAGACAAAACATATTGAGATTGATTGTCACTTTGTCTGCCAGCATCTGCAGTCTGGCTCTATCTCGTTTTTTTGTCTCTTCGGCTTTGCAATTTGCGGACTTCTTCACCAAGACTCACACTACCGCTCGGTTTCAGTTTCTTCTTAGCAAATTCTCAGTGTTTTCTGCTGAAACACCTTGAGTTTGAACGGGGGTGTGTGAAATATATTGTGTATAGAATTATGAAAGATTGTATTGTGTATAGACTTAGGAAAGATTGTGGTGTAACTATTTCGCTGTATTTCTTTTTTCGTATTTTCCTTTTTCACTCATAGGTTTAGGGTTATATAAACAGATGCCCTCCTTGTAAAGATATACAAGTTGAATATATAAATCATTTAGAAATACTTACATATGGGGCAATTTTATTAAATTGTTGAGGTGCTTGAATGGTAAGGGAAAGCCATATTCAAATTGTTGTTGAAGTAAAGACTTGTGTTCTTTTGTTTTCATAAACCACATGCTATTTTGGGAGGTTGCATTGATAGAGTTGGAATTTTGAATGAACACTTGGAACAGTGGTTAGAGCATTCAGAATGCCACTTGTACCCCTGTTTTTACTCGTGGCACAATGGAAAGAGAAATAGAGCAATTTCTTTATTTTTTATTAATTCCATAAACATTGAAAGCTGGTTTACTTACATAAAATAAAATAAATATAAAACTGTGAAAAAGTAGTTTTTTGGTTGAGAGGAGGCATTAGATGACCTATAAGAGCCTCTTGCCATGGACTTCATTACTACCAACACCAGCATTGATTGTTGATATTATGTTTTGTTACTTGCCTAAATGTACTAAATAGTTTTAAATGTTGGGTTCATATAGTTTTTAATTTTCCTAGCATCCTTAAATTTAAACATTGTTCATTTCATTATTATATATGGAGTCATTCTGAACCAAGTGATTGAGCTTGTACGTCATCATCTTCTTCTTCTTCTTCTTCTTCTTTTTTTTGTTTTTTGTTTTTTGGGGCTTAGATGAAACTCTTTTGCAGGATTCAGATTCTGACTCAGAGATGTTTGATTTGTTAGATCCATCTTCACCTGACATAATCGTTGGCAAAATTTCCCTTTCCTGTTCTGTTGAGGTTGTGCAGTATGAATCTTCCTTTTTATCTATTGGTTGGTTGAGACTATGACAATTATTTCTTTTCTGTGGTGTAAAAGCTAGTTTGAACCATTGACAGGATCCAATTGAAACAGAAAAAAGTTTTGTAAGACGCATCTTGGCTATAGTGGTATGCTTTGACTCATTTTCCTTCTTCCTGTATGATATTCACTAAATTTATCTATTTTGTGTATAATTTTCCTCCTTAGTCTCCCACATTATACTCAACTATCTGTGTCATGCTGAATTATTGGATAGTTCCGGAAAGACCATTTTAGGATTTAACTTGCTATATGAATCTCAGTATATCTGTTCGTGATCTAACATACGTATTTTCTGCAAATTTTTGGATTAATTTTAGGATCTGTCTGAATATAAGATGATATTTTTATTTTTATTTTTTATAAGCATCAATAATCAGTTACCAAATGGTTATTGTTCGGCAAGATTGAGATTAAGGATGTTGATTATCGACTTGTAATTTTTTTGCTTCTTTCTTATTGAAAAGTGATGCTCCATCAAAGGTTTGGAATGTCTTGGCCCTCTTGGGTGATGTCAAAAGATAACTACAGTCTGGTCAGGCACTGGCATTTTGCATCCTACGTTGGAAGTGTCGTATTCCATTGAGTATTTACGTCTTTTCTATTCCATGGGAAATTTGAAAAGAAAAAATAAGAGAAAATATGCAGACCATCACCTTCATAATTGTGAAGGTACTTTAGATGCTAATTTTGTTAATTAAATTCCTTTTTCTTTTTCTGTTTTTGGGTTTTTCCACATTTATGCAAGTTCCTTGTGGTATCTTATTTTGAGTCTTGTTATATAGACAGAAGAGTTTTTTATGGCAACACAACATTCAAATGCTCTAGATACTTGAAAATCTCTGTATATGACCCCACAATTATACTTGAATTCGGTACTTTATTTTTGTTTTGGCATGTGGTTCCGTTGGATTGTCAATTACTCTGATTCTTGGTTTAGGCAAGTAAATGAATCAAAATGCATGCTCAATCATATATTTTTGTTTCTATTAACACTATTTATAGGAAATAGATCCTTTGCAGAGAGTGTGCTTTTAAGAAGCATGGACACCGACATGAACACATGATGGCGAATTTGAGAAAAATAGGATATGGATATGGCGGGGATACAGATATTTTTATTATTATTTTCAATATAAATGAACATAAATTTAGGACACGGAGATATAAGAAGCATCAATGTATATGTGAGTGTATTTTTATTTTTTTTACTTTCCTCCTTTGTTTTCTTATATTTTTATTTTGACACGAAATAGTCCTTCTAAATTGTAAAAGAGAAACTGACAAAGGTCACTCGAGGCATGTACAGGACACTCATGTCCGTGAAGTGTTCCAAAAAGGGTACTTGCTTGCTATTATTGTTGCCATGATTTGTGTTTTGGTTTTTCTAAGCGAGGAGTTCCTTCTATATTTTAACATCCCTAGTTTGACAAGGTTTCTCTAGTGAACTACATCTGGATGCACAGTGATAGTTCATAGCTAGCATTCTAAATCCCATGTGTTGAGTTGTTAGATACCTAGCTTGGTTGTATTGTTGGGATCATATAGCCATACTTACGGTTGTCTATCCATTATTCCATGGAGATAATGATCTTTTGATTTCTGGAAACCCCTGCATTGATTTGTGCTTGTCTCAGATGTAATATGGATTTTCTTATTATCCTTAGCATAGTTGTAAGTTATTCCACTAATATTTTGTTTCGGTTTCCTAGGTGATGAAAATGTTTTGGCCATTTCAATGAAAACAAAACCAAATTTTTGGGCTGTTTTGATGGAAACGAAATGAATTTTTGTTCATTGATTGATCCATGAAATGTGTTAAAATATATATCCCATACTTAAATCTCAACCATATGATTATATTATGATGTTGGATGAACAAATAAATTGTCAAGTAATTAAAATTGCTTGTGTATATCCCATTGCCGTGATCTTTTTTCCATACATGTTTCCACTTTCTCAATCTATTGAAGCTTTGAAACATATCTTATGAAGCAGCATTAGAAACAATACCTGATAGAAGAATACAAAATTAATTCTGGATAATATACACAATTTGGAAACTGTGCCCATAGTAGATTTCATCGAATTGAACCCCTATGGTTTGTACAGGACTACAATGAAGATGGGAAGCTCTCAATCTCCGAGTTCTCAGACTTAATTGATGCATTTGGCAATCAACTGGCAGCTGATAAGGTTTGAATTTATACTTTTTTTTTTGGTTCTTAGCACCTCTTTTGGAACTTCACTGTTAATACTAATGGGCAACTATTTCTTTGGATTGTCTTGAGTGCATTGGGATACCTGAATTTGGATCTAAGAGGCATATCTTCACATCATAGGTGACATGAGTATCCAAAATAGCCTTATTCACAGCTATGGGGTTTAAAACTTGTCAGTTGATTGTTTTATTAAGCAAATCATTTTGAATAGATTTTGGAACACTGGATTTAAATAATTAAAAAAAAAGCACATCTAAATCTGCATATCGAAAATATGCAGTGTAGAATTTGTTTTCCTAACTTATATTGTCTTAGCAGTTCATTTTTACTTTTTTACCAGAAAGAAGAGCTTTTTAAAGCAGCTGATCAGAATGGGGATGGTGTTGTTAGCATGGATGAGTTGGCTATCCTTCTTGCTATTCAACAAGAAAAGTAAGACCATGTAAAATTAAAAAGTTTGGGTTTGATCTGAATCATTTTGTTTCTACTTTTATATATTTTGTCACCAACATGGATGTCTATACATTATAGGAATTTACCCTGGATCTCACCAAAGGTGGGATCAGGGAGTTCCCCGTTATCAAAAAACAAAAGCCTTGTGAAGTTAATTTGATTGCTTTTTTTTTTTCACTTGATTAAGTAGTCTGCATCCATTATTGGTGGTCCTCAGTTCGAATAATAGGCGTGTTTTCTGTGTGAAAAACTTTGTCATTTTTGACAGCATGATGTTCTTCGGTATTAGAAGTATCTCATTTATGATGCAGGACAATTAGGGCAGCAGCAAATCTGGACTTTTGGGGCTGATTTTAATTAGATTTTATGGCTGAAATTCCAATAAGAGTATAGCGCACAAGTAGGGTTTGTTTAGGGTAATAAACGGGTAAGAGTTTAACCATGAAAGATGAGATTTTGGCACTGTTTAGGGACTGTGAACAGGACCCATGCAGTGTTTTGAGCTGTTAAAAGTGCAGAAAATAAAAGAGGAAAAGCTAGAGAAGAAGAAGATAGGTTTAGGAATTACTCCTAGAATCCCTAAGACATCACACTTAGGGTTAGGGTTGCATTGCACAATCCATAAGAAAGCTTCAAAGCTTTTCAAATTCTATGAAATATTTACTCTATTAAATTATAAGCATTACATAGGAGACTTTATAAACCAACTATAACCAAAAAAGAAAACTATTATATCTTCTTTAATTTCCAAAATTTATCTAAGACTAAATAAGAAACAAAAGCAAAGACTAATTAAATAATTGACCCAACCCACAACCCATATTTGGAAATTCTGCAAATTACCAAAATACCCCCAAGTTTAAAATCTTAGAAAACATAAATATAATTATAAAATAAGACTCTAATAATACTAGAAACACAATTATAAAAGATTTCTATCAGTTTCTCTATGAAATCATGCAAATTTCCAAATATCATCGCTTCTTTAAATTTAGCCTTCTTTGTGCTTCTTATACTCTACATTATTCTCCCTTGGTTGGAAAAAACTCGACCTCGAGTTTTGAAGTGTTGGAGTGTAAGAATCCACAAGCTTTGAAATTGCATCGATGGCTTCACATTAAAATTTTCAAGTTGGCAGCATCGTTTCTTCCTCATTGGACATAACAATGGAAGTAATATGATATTTTCAGTTCTAAAGCTAAATTTTTCTAGAATAACAAAATCAATTGAAGTACAAAGAATTGATTTAAGTGTTGAATTGTCCCATCATTCATGCCATTCTCTTTTGGGTTTGCAATATGTTGCATACAAGCAATTTGAATGCTATTGCTTGCATCAACAACCAGTGATTCAATATTCTCAACCTTTACCTCAACCAAAATATCTTCATGCAATTCAATTTTGCAAACCTCTTGTGACTTTTGTATGTGCTACACATTAATCATGGGGTAGAGGCTCATTATGAGTTTGTTGGCACCACATCAGACAATTCAGGTAACACATTAGTGACCTTTAAAGGAGTTTATTTTCTACATTAGTGACCTTTAAAGGTGTTCATTTGAGAGAAAACTTAGAGAATGATCAGAAAATCACCCGCTTTTATATTAATAATAGGTAGCTTACAATGGAAACCTTGGATTCACAAATAATAGAATAAGAAAGTCCTAAGGCACTAATTAAGGAAACCAAATATAATCTAAATAAAGAAACAAATAATGAAATGATCCTAACATATATTCTAACACTTTTTCTCAAGCTGGTGCAAGGATATCTCTCATGCCCAGCTTGACAAGAATATCATGAAATGGTTTACTGAATATCTGCAAGTTGTTCACCAGACTTCACAAATGGAGTACTTATTGCGCCACTAGTGAGTTTTTCTTTGATGAAGTGACAATCAATCTCAACATGCTTTGTTCCGTCATGTTGAACAGGATTGTGAGCTATGTTGATGGTAACCTTATTATCACAATATAGCTGCATAGAGTCTTTCTGGTCAATTCCTAGATCATGCAATAACAACTTGATCCACAAGAGCTCACACACACCTTGTACCATAGCTTTAAACTCAGCTTCTGCACTAGACCTGGCAATCATATTCTGTTTCTTATTTCTCCAAGTAACCAAATTGCTTCCAACAAAAGTACAATGTCCTGAAGTGGACCTCCTATCAGTTACTGATCCTGCCCAATCAGCATCTGTATAAGTTTCCACACTAAGATGCTCATGTTTGAAAAAATAAAGACCTTTTCTAGGAGAAGATTTCAAGTATTTTAAAATTCTTATAACTGCCACCAAATGTATTTCATGAGGAGCATGCATAAACTAGCTAACCACACTAACAACAATAGCAATATCAGGACGAGAATGGGCTAAGTAAATAAGTTTATCCACTAGTCTCTGATAACTCCTCCTATCAACGGCTGTTCCCCCACTAGCATCACAAAGTTTCTGATTAGGTTCTAGTGGTGTGTCACAAGTTTTACTTCCAAGTATTCCTGTTTCCTTCAGCAGTCAAGGACATATTTTCTTTGACAGATGAAAATCCCATCTTTGGATCTAGTCACTTCAATCCCCAGAAAGTACTTTAGGTTCCCCAAGTCTTTGATTTCAAACTTACTGGCCAAATACTTCTTCAACAAAGGGATTTACTCAACATCATCTCCTATAAGTACTATGTCATCCACATATACAATGAGAGCTATAGTTTTATCATGAGAGGAATGTTTAACAACCATATTTTAACATCGCCTGAGTGTATTTCTCAAACCAAGCCTTAGGGGACTGTTTGAGGTCATATAATGACTTCCAAAATCAACACATCTTACCCTTAGTTTGAAGAGTTTCAAAGCAGGAGGAATGTCCATATACATCTCCTCTTCTAGGTCACCATGCAGGAAAGCATTTTTCACATCAAACTGATGAAGTGGCTAGTCCAGATTAGCTGCCAGAGAAAGAAGTACTCTGACTGAATTCATCTTTGCAACATGAGCAAATGTCTTTTGGTAGGCTACCCCATAGGTCTGAGTAAAACCCTTTGCCACAAGTCGAGCCTTATACCGCTCAATTGAACCATCTGTCTTGTGCTTGATATACACCCATTTGCATCCCATAGTTCGTTTGCCCTTAGGTAACTCAGTTAAATCCTAAGTGTCATTCTTATGAAATGCTTTCATTTCCTCCACCATGGTCAGTTTCCACTCAGGAATAGTAAGAGCATCTTGAGCATGATTAGGTATGCTAACAGAGGAAATTTTTAACGCAAAGGCTTTATATGAAGAGAACAAATTAGAATAAGACACAAAGTTAGAAATAGGATGATGAGTACAAGATCTCACGCCTTTTCTCTTGGCAATGGGGATATCAAGATCAGTAGGCTTAGATTCAGAGATAGTAATATTAGGAGTTTTAAGGTTACCTGGACCTTCATCCATCATGAGAAGGAGACGACAGTGATTGATCAAAAATGGTCTCTTGTGTTCAACTGACTTTCTATCTTTCTTTATCCCTGACATAGACTTTCCCTTCTCTGTTCTTGGCAACATCGAATTCTGTATTGCTAGTAATAGATATCACTGGAGGTGGTACTGGGCCAGGAACAAAGGAGCAATAATAGATACTATTGGTGGTGGTCTTGGGTCAGGAATAATAGAAACAACATGACTTTCTTCACTCCAAGACTCCCCTGAAGAGATGACTGGGACATTAGACGGGACAAAAAGTAGGATTGAGACTCAAAGAAGGTGACATCCATGGACATAAACCATTTACGAGTGAGAAGATGATAACATTTATACCCCTTTTGAGTATGAGAGTAACCTATGAACACTCACTTGAGGGAATGGGGATCTAACTTACCCTGAGAAGGAGAATGATTGTGAACAAAACACACACAGCTAAAGGTTTTTGGAGGAATGGAAAACAGAAACTCAGAACCGAAGAGAACTTGCAAAGGTGCCCCTTTTTGTAAGACTTGTGTAGGAAGACGGTTAATGAGATATGCAGCAGTGAGAAAAGCCTCGGCCCAATAGGCCCGAGGTACGCCAATAGAAAAACACATACAGTGAGCTATATCAAGGAGATGATGATTCTTGCACTCGGCAACCCTATTTTGTTGAGGGCTGTCAGTGCAAGATAATGCCATGAGTAGAAAAATATTTTGCTAATCCAAAATCAATGTACTCACCCCCATTGTCAGAACACACTATTTTGACAACTGCCCCAAATTGGATACTAACCATCTTATAAAAGTTTTGAAACACAGAAAATACCTTACTTTTTTCTTTCATGAAGTACACCCAAGTAGTTTGAGAGCAGTCATCTATAAAAGTAACAAACCATTGATGACCTTTTATTGACATCACATGAGAGGGACCCCAAACATCCAAATGAATTAAAGAAAAAAGAATTGGATTTTTATTATTAGTAGGAGAAAAAGAGGCTCGATGTTGTTTGCCAAGTTGGTAGGACTCACAATGAAACTCGGAGACTTTATTTTTGATAAAAATAGAAGGAAATAATTGTCTAAGTAATAAAAAGGATAAATGTCCTAGACGTTGATGCCACAACCATAAATCTTCCTTGGTGGATGGAGACGGGATGGAATGATAAGCCTGCTGGTCAGACTGATTGAGGATATAGAGACCATTTTCTGTTCTACCACTGCCAATTGTCTTCTTCGTGATAAGGTCCTGAAAAAGACAAGAATCAGGGAAAAAAGTTACACTACAATTCAAATCTCTAGTAAAACGACTAAATGACAATAGGTTTAACAGAAAAATTAGGAACATGTAAAACAGAAGACAAAGGTAGAGAAGGGGTGGCATGGATTAAACCTGTTTCGGAGATAAAAGAAATTGTACCATCAACAATCTTAACTTTATCCTGACTAGAGGTTGGTGTATAGTCTAAGAAGAGATCAGAAGACCTAAACATATGATCTGAGGCACTAGAATCAATTATCCATGGCAAGGTCTTAT